AAAAAATCTTCTAAGAGGTTCTGCATGCAGAAAGTTGAAATGATGTCTTGTTCCTTCGACATTTTTTCTTTTTTCTCTTTTTTTTTTTTTTTTTTTTTTTTGCATCCCTTTCCAAGACGATATTATTGACTGCTGAACTCACAGTCTTGTGTAATGTCTTTTTTTTCTTTCTATTTATCAACTATTTTGTTCAAATCATTTCGCCATGTCTATATTCCCATCTTTGAAGCATTTATTTACAGTATAAATAATAGCCAAACGCTTCGTTCGAATTCTCCTCAGTTCTCTTGTCTGTTGATCGTCCAAAACTTTTAATCACGTCTTGAATCATAATTTGAAAATTCATGCAGCTCATCAATTTTGTGATTTTCAATATCTCCTCAGTTTTCAGCAATCGAGTATTGTTAACCTGTATAAGCGGACACCTTCGGAAAAGGAGCTGTTTATATAATTAGCTTCTAGTGATAAAAACGTTCGTGCGAAAGTCTATTCAATGTAGATCATTTCTGCGGTAAGATATTTAGTACTTGCGTCTGAAATTCAAACAATATCTAACTTGAGACGGTGCAAGCGACTGCAAAACGNTTTTTTTTTTTTTGCTGCTGGAAATTTATGTCCTCGTTGCCAAACTGAGATATTTCTTGTCGCGTATGCAGTGAACTTGCGAATGTAAGCGGCAGTACGATGTTCGTCTTTGTTTATTAAAAAAAAAAATGTTTGAAAAATGGTATCAGCATTGACAATAAATACTACTTTATGTTTTTAGATTCGGGCTATTCGAAAACAACTCAGAGACAAGGGACTAGAAAATGTAACAGTGGAGACAATTCACAACGTGCAAGGTGATTAAGAAATTTTAACTTTGCTTGAGCGAGCCCTATATTATCTTTTTTTTGGTTACGTTAGTGAGCTTTTCAGTAGTGATTTTACTTCAATCTCCATGTTCTCGATATATGTAAGTGTAGCGAAAAAAGAAATGGCTGTGAGAGCCCATTAGAGAAAAAGTAGTTTACGGTGTATGTGCTTTTTGTCGCAGGAAAAGAGTTTCGTGCATTATTTATCAGCACTGTCCGCACATCTCTAACCTGCCACAGTTTTGACAGACGTCAAAGTGAATCTCAGTCACTCTACTGGGAATTCTTGTCAGACCCCAAGCTCTTGAATACCGCAATAACTAGGGCGATGTCCTTGGTAGCAGTTGTTGGGGATCCCGTCTCGTTGTGTACTGCTGGTTACTGTAGGGGGAACTGGAGAGACTACATCAGAAGGTGCCACGAACACGGAGCTTTGCATGGAGCATCGTACGAAGAGATAAAAAAGAAAATAGACGCCCCTCTCGCCAAAATCGCTTTAAATCCAGAAGCAAACGAATTTGTTCCGCAATCAATGTACGTCAGCAGCAAAGAGCTCAAATCCTTGGAGTTGGCTTCTCAACGAGAAATATCCGATAGTCAAATCTCAAGCTCTGACGAGAAGGGTGACTTGGAAGTTGACAAATATGATAAGAGAGCAGCGTCTGAAATCCAAGACAAGCGTAACATCCCAACGGAAACGAACGGGTCAGGAATAGAACGAGGTGACGAAGAAGATGTGACGCAAGGAGAACCCATGGCGGAAGAAGAAGAGCAAGAGTACGAAGCAACTCAATTCTCATCAGATTCTCCAAAGAATGAGTTTAATTCTGTAAGATCTGAAATATCAGGAGATCAGCACCAAGTCGATCTTGCTTTTCAAGAGGACCCTCAAAGAAAAATTCAGTCCCAAGAAGAAGAAGATGACGTCGAGCAGAGTGCTTCAGACAGTTTTGAAGAATTCCTTCGGGAAAGTTTTGAAGACGAGACTGTTTTCCCGAGATGCTTTGATAACATAATCAAGGCATTCGTGGATAAGTGTAAAGCGACGAAGGAAAAAGAAGCCCAACTTAATGTATCACCAGAAAATGCGGCGGCGTTCCCCTCACTACACACAGCTGCAAAATTAAGCAACAAAAAGTCAAAAAATGGCAAACTTTCAGGCAAACAAGCTTCTCAAGAAAAGTCAAGTTCATTCCTCTATTCTTCAGAAGATTACGAAATCTGCCTGGTCAACGGTCGCGCGGTAGTGCGACTTGTAAATCTTGGATTTCACCAGACGCCCGCTGTCCAACACCAGAAGCTACTCACCGCATCCACAAGGCAGGAGGATTTTCTTGAAACACAGCTTTTGCAGCAATTGTTAGAAGAAAAGCCTAAGAAGTATGTCCCTTGCACACTTCGTCTTAACTCCGAGAGTACGCGTACGGCGTATGCGGAAGTTTCGGATACAAAGACTCCAGACATCAAAATCAGAGGAAGAGTCCGGGGAGCGTTCGACATGGATCACGTGGTTGTCGAAAAAACAGATTACCAGCCTTCTCCGTGTGATGGAGTTCCTCCGTACCAAGGAATAATTGCTGGTAAGTTCAATAGCTTACTCAATAGTTTCCTCATTTCAAAAGGAGCAACATAAAGTAAAGTTGGTAATCCTGAAAAATCATTTCCTTTCTTTCTTAGTGTCAAAATCAATCACTGTTTTTCCTTCTCTTCCTTCAGGTTTTGCTTCCTTACTACAAATTGTATACGTCCTTTATCGAGGTTTCATTTTGGTTAATTATTAACAAAAAACGCCCGACAAATAAGTGAAATTATTGTATTGTTTGTTCATCTAACAGCAAAGAAATCCTTTTGAAAAAACTCATAATAACTCACAAAATCTTGTCTATAGGTGTACTGCATCATATCATTAGGCCACACGAGCGTCACTACGTGTGCAAGATGGATTACGAAAACCCTCGAGTAATGATTCCAATCAACAAGTCCGTCTCCAAAATAGTGTATCTGACTGACAAGAAGTTGAAAGGCTTACCTCTTTTAAATATTTACAAGGAAATACATCTTGGAAGTGAAACACCGTTCAAAGTCGATGAGTTTGACTTCACAGAAGCTCTAAGTGGAAAGTTTTTGTTTCTAGTCCAGTACCTACAGTGGAGGTCAGATTGCCCCTACCCTTTGGGAATCGTTATAAAGAAGCTACCTCAAGGGGATACTTTGTCTGGCAGCATGAGAATTTTATTCGCAGAACATGGAGTGAGAGATAGGTTTAGCAAGGAGAGTAAAGCAGAAGTTCAAACAAAGTTCCCACCAGAATGGTTAATACCAGCCGAGGAATATGGAATTCGCCAGAAAATTAATGGTGCGTTCACGATTGATCCCGACAACTCCAAGGATCTGGATGATGCACTTACAGTGGAACAGCTCCCAGATTCTGTAAACCGGGTCGGAGTTCATATTGCTGACGTGAGTTATTTTGTGGAACCAGGGACCCAGTTGGATAAAGACGCCATGTTCCGCTGCAGGTCCTACTATCCAGGTCACGGCTACCGGAGCGTACCTATGCTGCCACGTGAACTCAGTGAAAATCACTGCAGCCTTCTTCCTGGTAAAGATCGGTTGTGCGTATCAGTGTTTCTTGACGTGTCAGAGAAAGGACTGCTTGTTGGCCAACCAGAAATAAGACGCACCATTGTCAGGTCTTCTTGTCAGCTCACTTACCCTGAAGCCCAAAAAGTTATCGATAGTCAAGATGCTTCACAGCTTCAGATACCACAGATTGTTAAAGGCAATATTCGAACCCTGAGTGCCCTTGCCCAAAGGAGAAGGAAGTTGAGACTGCGAGATGCTAGTTTTGATCATTGGTCAAACAGTGATGATGGTGAAAATTTTGAAGCCCATGAATTAGTGGAGGAAATGATGCTTCTTGCCAATGAGGAAATAGCCAAATTTCTCTCTAGTTCTCAGCAAATCCAACAGAGGACCCCATTACGAACCCAGCTGCCACCTAAAGATCACAAATTGGATGACTGGGTTAGACAACACGGACAGTTTATCAAGTATTCTTTGTTTCTGCGTGGCTTTTATTCAGAAGAAAACCTTAGGAAAATGGCAAATAAAGCGAGCGTTTCAGAAGCCTCAGAACGATTTAAAGTGCAAGAATCAGTCTGGTCCGAGCTCTGTAATGCTGTGGAGACCGGAGACCAAGCCATGCTACACAAATTGATTTGTAACGAGAGCAGTCATCCTCAGCTGGCCGTGACAAATTCACAGTTTCGGCGAATTCAGCCCAAGTCTCAGTACGTCTGCAAAAGTGATCAACCAGAGGAAAACATTGTGCACTTCTCTCTGGGGATGGGTTGTTATACGCAATTCACTTCACCCATACGACGTTACATAGATATCCAAGTACATCGACTCGTGTTGGATTTAATCCAACACCCGGGCTCCAACGCAAAGATATCTTCGAAGGACCAAATTGCTGAAGTTTGCCGCCGCTCCACTTTTGCTCAAGACAACTCCAAGAAGTTTGAAAAGGCAAGCAGTAAAGTACATCTGGCTGCAAAGCTAAAGGAGAAAAGCCACGAAACCACAGCAGTGATTTCCTTGATCGACACTGATAAAGAAATTAGTTTAGAAATTCTGGACCGTGAATATAACCATCTCTCAACGCGACAAAGAAAGGTGAAGCTGAGCAATCTTAACCCGTTCGATGTCGAACTTGCTCCGGATGGCTTAGAGATTATTTGGAGGCTAAGATTATACATAGCTCCAGAAGGAAACATCATCGAGGAACCCAAGAAGGAAAGGGAGAAAATCGCATTGCTTTTATCTCAAGGAATGGTGAGGAATAGGAAAGTTCTGAACTTGCCAACAGATAATTGGCTGAAAATTCTGAAAGCATTTCAAGAGGGAGACTACGAAAAGCTTAAAACGATGATTAGACAAACTGAGAGAGTTCGTCAATTAGCTTCACGGGTACCTGAATCGATCCGGCCCGGCAAACCGCATAAGTCATCTGAAGACGAAAAAGCTGGCACAAATCTGGAACACTTCTACGAGAAAAAATTATCCCTCAGGAAGTTTGACATCGCAAACATTCAATTGACCGCACATATGACACATGGCGTTTTTCACCCCGAAATTCAGTTATTCAAGATCAACCCCAGTGTAAACATTTGCGTTGAGCATCGCAAGTATCCTAGGGAGTGTTTTGCAACGACAGCAAGATACCAAGCATCACGGAAGACGTACGCCAGTGTGGACAAGTACATTGAAGCCTGGGAACCCGTTCTTGCTATGGAAGCCGCTACCACGGCCGTCGAAGAAAGCGACGAGTTCACCATGCATCATTTGAAGATTAAGTGGAAAAAGGATATCAGTGGAAGCCTGGAAGGCTCTTTTAGCCTCCGAAACGAATACTGCTCAAGTCGTCAAATGCAATTTCATGCTGGAGATTTTGTTTGCGTACGTGTGCGGGAAGACAGTTACATGAAGAAAACGGGCTCAGAAAACAATTTTGCTTCCCTTGAAAAGACCAAAACAGAGGTTAGTAAGCCCTAGAATAACTGTACTTATTTATTTCCATTTCTGCAACAAGGAACTTTTTTGTGCGAAAAGAATCGATGAAGAAAGTGGCAATGGTAAATTTATTGGCAAAAGATGTAAGGTGGTCTCGAAGGGCCCAAGAAACTGCCGTTAGTTGCTCTATCAATGCTTACCCTTGGGCTCCCTGCTTGTTTGTTATAGAATGGATTACAATGAATTAAATTCGAGATCATGTTTTTTTCAGACACACTTGTCTTCCGTCGTGACCACTTGAAAATTAACCACGTTGGACAATCGACAGATTCCAACCTAACGTGATACGTTTTCATAAAACGTGTAGCAACGATCCTGCGCTATCACTTTATGTCCCATTCTGTATAACTAAAATATATTATAACATAGCTAGCAAGTCGCTCTATGATACTCAGTATACTTAAGAGCCATCAGGATCTAATAATGTGCCCTCATGGCGTTAGCAACGTTAACTTGAAGTTAACTTCATTTCGCCAGGGAAATTATTTCCATGGGTTATGTTACTGTATAAAACAGTTGATCCTTTCTGTAGCTGTATATCATCGAGTTCTGATGCATTTTGGAAATTTGAGGGCACTCAAGAAGAAATAGATGCTTTCAGCTGCGCTTCGAACAACTCCTACGCTTCTTTTGTGCTCTCTAATCTTTCCGCGTGTTTCGTAACTCGATTATGCCAGCTGAATCATGAACCAGTAGTTAAATGGGAAAAATTAAAGTCATTCTGTTGTTGAAAGGATGTTAGAGATGTTGGGAATCGGATGTTTCTCTCAATCAAGAGATGCATAAAAGTCGCCTACCTCGATAAAACATTTGTTGTGTTCTTATTTAAGGGAGAGACAAATCTTTTGAATGAAGACCAATTCAGCGTCACTAAATCGGCCTCTCTCTCGTCCATTGGAGGAAAACCCCGTCATGAATCCAGTTGTGCTTCAGAAAGTTTCTGGGTGGGGCACTGCATCATCAATCAGGACTACAGTAAAGAGCTGTCAGACAAAGTTACTTTGAAAGTTGTCACGATGGATCTTCATCAGTCAGCATCAGATTTTCCCGATGAGCTACTGAATGGAGCTGACCACCTGAGTACCTTAACTGTTATTCACCGTTCACTTCCCCACAGGTAAACAGATCAAATACTTTTTGAAAGGCAGCTCTTATATCCTCCTTCTTGCTTGCATGAGCTAGGCAGCTTCGAATTGACCATTTGATTAATTGTGCATTTGATAAATTGGAACAGCGCAAACTGAAAAAACTGTTCCGTTATATGATCTTATATTAGTATCATATTTTTTACTAATAAAGATCCGGAATTATGAATACCAGGTCCAGAAACAGTACTCTTCACTTAACACCAATAAACGCCCGTTATCCTTTTTTGTAGGCGGATGTTTGCAGTTTTGCGCTCTCTACCAAGTGCATCACAACTGGCTCATTCCATTTGTATGGGACATGAGCCAAACCAAGGTCAGCTGTACATAAATTTCGACCTCTCAGTAACTTTCTTGTTGTATTTATCGTTTTTGTTACCACTTGTCCTTTTAAACTATGAGTTCCTTGCTCTTATTGAACTGCATTTCTTTCCTGGAAAATCAGGGATGGCATATCGAAATTAATTAAAACACTTTTTTGCCATTGTCCTTTACTACATTTGCATAACACTAAAACCGGACTTGAATTATTTAGTAAATTTGTCGGATGCTTGCAACTTGTAAGTTTTGCATTAAGACATCCTTCCTTGGATCAAGTTTTAAGTTGTTCGCACCAACAAATAAATTTTCATTTAAGCTGTTGAATTCCAAATACCTGCAAATCAATAAAGTAAAAACTAAGCATTTTATCCTGCGCTTAACTTTAAGTTGTTGTTTTGCTTCGGCTTGAAAAGGCATGCACAAGTTCAAGGTTCAGCTAAGGCGTTTCCTTTACAAAAGGAGTTGTGAGGCCCATCACTTCATATATTTTCGTCCGATGAAAGTTACATCTCTGTTTGGGGTTGTGACATATAACTACTGACTAAGAAATTTTTATTTAATTATATGTTTTTTTTAGCGTGAACTCTGTCATAACCGAGTTGGATATTTACAATCTTTATTTAGTTCGTTGCTGCAGGAAGCAGAGGTGGTAGTAGGTGATCATTAGATTATAGATCTAAGTTTTAAAATATAGATGAAATTCTTAAAAGGAAAGAAACCTTGTTGCTAAAAAAAGGTTTAAAAAGTGGGTTTGAAATGGTGGGGTGTTAAATGTTTTGCTGAGGCCATTACTTATACAGACCGGCATCCAAATAACGGGAAATTTGAAACTTTTTCCGCAAAGCTCGTCCCGGCATTGTAGTGGGAGATAAATTCATTACGGACATTGCGTAACGAGTGAGCTGCACAAAAAATGATCCTATTGCAGGTGGCTGACAACAGTGTCCAGCACTTCCTAGCAGTTATACTTTGAAGTATCAATGCTATATATCATCAGTATATCAAGAGATGCTAACATTGCAACATTTGAATAACACAAATGCCTAATCATTGGGTATTATATATTTAGTTAATAATGACATAAAAAGGATGAACCGGAGAAACTCGTTTACCAATGATTGGACATTTATATGATACCATCATTGTAGCATCCTCTGATAAATAATGGTAATTGAACTGAGTGGTGTGCAATTTGGTCTGAAATCATACGCGTAATTTCAAAATCGAACGAGCTCGCAGCGCGAGTTCGATTTGACATCACAAGTATGATTTTAGACCAAAATTGCACTCCACTCAGTTCAATTGCCACTTTATTAGATCCATTTTGAAATCGCACAATTTTATCGCCTTAAATTTTAGATTTGTGTGTACTGTTCCAGTAGCCGGTTTGTTGAAAATAGCGGAACCGGAAACGCCTTTACGTCTCATTTAGTATGCAAAACGACGTTATGTGACGACAACTCATTTGAGCATGGCAAAGAAACAAGCAGTTCTGAAGTCAGAACAAAAATAGTCTACTTCATGCTTAAAAGTTCAATTCTCGTCGCCTGAGTCAATGACGGAAGGCCTTCCTTTCTCCTGTGGTTGAGGCTGAGATTTTTCGTTGTCTTTGGAGAAGGAATTTGAAGGTGCATCCTGTGTAATTCTGCGATGGATTTCTACTCCCTCGAGTGCACGATCCCCAATGGATAGTACGTTTGTTTTT